TCCCGGCTCAAAAGGGACAAAATGAATGATCTTATTGAACTTCTGTACGCCTGTCTGTGACTCCATCGCACAGCAATCACCACGATAAACAATAATGTTGAATGTGCATCCTTCAAGCTTGTCAGTTTGTAGAGAAAAAAATAAAATGTTGAGTTTATCGGCGCAATAAACCACTCAGTATGTTGGGAGAACACGACAGTAGTTTGTAAACCATAAGCCAGAGAAAAGTAACAAATTATTTCAACGTTTTGACGTAAGAGAAAAAATTAAAATGCTAAGTTACATTCTTCTTGCGTTGTAAATGAGAACTGTGTCTTATGAGTTAATGGTAGTTTGTGTGTTAATCCATTTGCTTTTTTTCTCTTTTCAATTTTCTTTTAATCTGTTGCACTGACCCACATTTGACAAATCAGGGAGTAAGTAACGTTTTCTTTGCTTAATAGCGATCAAACCACACTTTCTATCGGTTAATCGGCGTATTAAACCACTTAGTATGTTGGGAGAACACGACAGTAGTTTGTAAACCATAAGCCAGAGAAAAGTAACAAATTATTTCAACGTTTTGACGTAAGAGAAAAATTAAAATGTTAAGTTACATTCTTCTTGCGTTGTAAATGAGAACTGTGTCTTATGAGTTAATGGTAGTTTGTGTGTTAATCCATTTGCTTTTTTTCTCTTTTCAATTTTCTTTTAATCTGTTGCACTGACCCACATTTGACAAATCAGCATGTAAGTAACGTTTTCTTTGCTTAATAGCGATCAAACCACACTTTCTATCGGTTAATCGGCGTATTAAACCACTTAGTTTGTTGGAGAACACGACAGTAGTTTGTAAACCATAAGCCAGAGAAAAGGAACAAATTATTTCAACGTTTTGACGTAAGAGAAAAAATCAAAATGTTAAGTTACATTCTTCTTGCGTTGTAAATGAGAACTGTTTCTAATGAGTTAATGGTAGTTTGTGTGTTAATCCATTTGCTTTTTTTCTCTTTTCAATTTTCTTTTAATCTGTTGCACTGACCCACATTTGACAAATCAGACAGTAAGTAACGTTTTCTTTGCTTAATAGCGATCAAACCACACTTTCTATCGGTTAATCGGCGTATTAAACCACTTAGTTTGTTGGAGAACACGACAGTAGTTTGTAAACCATAAGCCAGAGAAAAGGAACAAATTATTTCAACGTTTTGACGTAAGAGAAAACATTAAAATGTAAAGTTACATTCTTCTTGCGTTGTAAATGAGAACTGTTTCTAATGAGTTAATGGTAGTTTGTGTGTTAATCCATTTGCTTTTTTTCTCTTTTCAATTTTCTTTTAATCTGTTGCACTGACCCACATTTGACAAATCAGGGAGTAAGTAACGTTTTCTTTGCTTAATAGCGATCAAACCACACTTTCTATCGGTTAATCGGCGTATTAAACCACTTAGTTTGTTGGAGAACACGACAGTAGTTTGTAAACCATAAGCCAGAGAAAAGTAACAAATTATTTCAACGTTTTGACGTAAGAGAAAAAATTAAAATGTTAAGTTACATTCTTCTTGCGTTGTAAATGAGAACTGTTTCTAATGAGTTAATGGTAGTTTGTGTGTTAATCCATTTGCTTTTTTTCTCTTTTCAATTTTCTTTTAATCTGTTGCACTGACCCACATTTGACAAATCAGCATGTAAGTAACGTTTTCTTTGCTTAATAGCGATCAAACCACACTTTCTATCGGTTAATTGTTGGAGAACACGACAGTAGTTTGTAAACCATAAGCCAGAGAAAAGGAACAAATTATTTCAACGTTTTGACGTAAGAGAAAACATTAAAATGTAAAGTTACATTCTTCTTGCGTTGTAAATGAGAACTGTTTCTAATGAGTTAATGGTAGTTTGTGTGTTAATCCATTTGCTTTTTTTCTCTTTTCAATTTTCTTTTAATCTGTTGCACTGACCCACATTTGACAAATCAGCATGTAAGTAACGTTTTCTTTGCTTAATAGCGATCAAACCACACTTTCTATCGGTTAATCGGCGTATTAAACCACTTAGTATGTTGGGAGAACACGACAGTAGTTTGTAAACCATAAGCCAGAGAAAAGTAACAAATTATTTCAACGTTTTGACGTAAGAGAAAAATTAAAATGTTAAGTTACATTCTTCTTGCGTTGTAAATGAGAACTGTGTCTTATGAGTTAATGGTAGTTTGTGTGTTAATCCATTTGCTTTTTTTTTCTCTTTTCAATTTTCTTTTAATCTGTTGCACTGACCCACATTTGACAAATCAGGGAGTAAGTAACGTTTTCTTTGCTTAATAGCGATCAAACCACACTTTCTATCGGTTAATCGGCGTATTAAACCACTTAGTATGTTGGGAGAACACGACAGTAGTTTGTAAACCATAAGCCAGAGAAAAGTAACAAATTATTTCAACGTTTTGACGTAAGAGAAAAATTAAAATGTTAAGTTACATTCTTCTTGCGTTGTAAATGAGAACTGTGTCTTATGAGTTAATGGTAGTTTGTGTGTTAATCCATTTGCTTTTTTTCTCTTTTCAATTTTCTTTTAATCTGTTGCACTGACCCACATTTGACAAATCAGTATGTAAGTAACGTTTTCTTTGCTTAATAGCGATCAAACCACACTTTCTATCGGTTAATCGGCGTATTAAACCACTTAGTATGTTGGGAGAACACGACAGTAGTTTGTAAACCATAAGCCAGAGAAAAGTAACAAATTATTTCAACGTTTTTGACGTAAGAGAAAAAATTAAAATGTTAAGTTACATTCTTCTTGCGTTGTAAATGAGAACTGTGTCTTATGAGTTAATGGTAGTTTGTGTGTTAATCCATTTGCTTTTTTTCTCTTTTCAATTTTCTTTTAATCTGTTGCACTGACCCACATTTGACAAATCAGGGGGTAAGTAACGTTTTCTTTGCTTAATAGCGATCAAACCACACTTTCTATCGGTTAATCGGCGTATTAAGCGGCGTAGTATGTTTAGAGAACACGACAGTAGTTTGTAAACCATAAGCCAGAGAAAAGTAACAAATTATTTCAACGTTTTGACGTAAGAGAAAAAATTAAAATGTTAAGTTACATTCTTCTTGCGTTGTAAACGAGAACTGTGTCTTATGAGTTAATAGTAGTTTGTGTGTTAATCCATTTGCTTTTTTTCTCTTTTCAATTTTCTTTTAATCTGTTGCACTTACCCACATTTGACAAATCAGTATGTCAAATCAGTTAATCGGCGTATTAAATAAGGACTGTCTCATGAATTAATGATTGTTTGTGAGCTAATCTATTCGTTTTGTTTTCTCTCTTTTCATTTTCCTTTTGATGTTGCACTGACTCACATTTGACAAACCAGAGCGTAAGTAACGTTTTCTTTGCTTCATAGCGATTAAACCACCACACTTTCTATCGGTTTATCGGCGCAACAAACCACTAAGCATGTTGAGAGGCACCGTCCCCCTCCCTCGAATTTGTGTTACACAATAGGCGCCCCTCTTGAGTAAGCACTCTCATACCAATAAGCGCCCATTCTCAATTCCCAGTACAAAAACAACCATCAGCATTTTCTCAAGAAATAAATAAGCGCCCTCTTTCAAATAAGCGGCCACCTCTGCGGTAACAAAGGTAAATACGCACCCGGGCGCTAAATCGAATCATTACGATACTTAACCTTAGCAACACGTGAGATAAGAAGCGATAAAACAAAACAAAAAATACATTTGTCTGTTAGCGATGACAACTTTAAGGAATGTGCATTTCTAACTGACACATATTTTTTTAGACATGGTTTGATGCTACCCTGGTTTAAAGATTTTATAAAGGTAACCGAGAAATGACAATTCATAGACCCAAAGTTTCGACACTCCCGTCTCGTGCCTTCATCAGGGTTGATCTAATCGCTGCGACAAGAGGTCCTTTTATATTCTCACTAATCACCCGCCTGAATGAAGGCACTAGACTGGGGTGTCGAAACATAGGGTCTATGGATTGTAACTTCACGGTTACATTCATTAAACCTTTTAACCAGAGTAGCATCAAACCATGTCTGATTGTCCATCTGGTTGCCTTGTGAACTTTAATATAATATATGTTTGTTTTTTTTTCTTGTAACCTACCTTAACTGGCAAACAGATCGTAAGTATGATTTTTTTTATAGTAATTTGGAGGGTTTCAGTTGTCATTTGCCTGCCTACAACAGCAATAAAAATCATGTAGCACAACGTTATTTAGTCTTGGCAATAGTTTAAATTGCATTTTTTTTTTTACTATCATTATTAAGAATAAATATATGAATGTGAAATCATAATTACAAATATACATGTCCTTTATATATATATATACATTTTTTTCGTCTTGCTTCCGAACCTATGATTGGAAATTGAATTACGTTGTCTTTAACTGGGCTCTAATAAAGATTAATATTCAAGGTGGAAGTTAAGCAATAAAAGATCCTGTATGATCCCGTTGTCCAATTTGGTTAAAGCTTTAATGGTATGTGTAGTAGACCACAAAACTGAGATTTCATCGCTTTGAAACTAAGAGTTAAGGTCATAAGTAGATAAATGTTTTTGCACTAAACCAATCTGTTGATCAGAAGTTCTGGACGACTTACAAATGAATATAAACCCACTCGTTACTGAACTAATTTAATTCACTTGTTTTTCTGTTGACTTTTTTCATTTCACTCCTTGGCCTTGGTATTTGACGAAAACGATTAGGACGTAAGTACAAATTTATATTTTAATCTGTAAGGATAATTTATTCCTGGTTTATGTCTTGATATGTTAATAGACTTTGACAGACAATTGTTACGTCGAAAGAGCATGTGTTCCGGGATCGTCCATTCACTGGTGTTCAAATAAACTCCTTGCTTTATGGGTTAATAAAGTAAATGGTTTGAACCCAGGAGTATCAGTAGTTCGTGTAGTGTGATCGTCCAGGTGAGTGTAGTTCTGAAAAGAACTGTTGTTGGTGACTGACGTTTCGACTATCTGTGCGGTAG